AGACGGGGTCTCGCTTTTGCTCAGGCTGGTTTCGAACTCCCGACCTTGAGCCATCCACCCACCTCGGCCTCCCAGAGTGCTAGGATTCCAGGCGTGAGCCATCGCGCCCGGCCTTATTCATTTATTTTTAATAGACCACCGGGACCTTGGACCGAGCTCTTTTTAAATACCTTTTCAGACAGCTTGCTTCTTTTTAAGTCTCTCCATTAAAAGAAAAAAAAACTACAGCTCCCAACTAAAAAACAGCCACCAGCACCCAAGTACCTTCATGCTTCAGGAATTTAAATTGCACTTCATTTGGCAGAATCTGTGTTAAAACAATATACCATTATCTACTTCGCCTGCACTCGACACCCTCAGGGTAGAGTTGCATTTTATAGGAGTTACTAAATCTGGTTGGAACTCAACAAGAAACAGCGTCATGGGGGAAATTGGTGCGGACTGGACCCTGGACTGATCACATTTCAAAGCCTAGTGCTTTGCTGAAGGGCATCTTCCTTCAAAACTAAGCAATCCTATTACTCAGAGCCTTGTCTGCACACCATGGCTTTGAAGGAATTTGATAGTTTGCAAATTCAGAGTTGAAAATTAAAAACCCACAAATAAGACCTGAATCCATTTATTCATGGTAAAATGGATATGGCTTTGAAAAGTCTGTCCTCATTAGGATCAGTTCAGTGTCATCTGTGATCTGGGGTAAGGCCACTTAACTAACCTCTTGCCAGTGGTTTCTAATACTAGCTCTGTCTTAAAAGGACTCAGGAGAGACCATAGAATAATGTTAGCTGAAGCGCGTATCTTTTTTCAGGAACGTTTCGTTGTTTTCTTAATCAGTGTTGTTTTGATTTTACCAGGTTTAGAATACCTTCTCCTCCCCTAAAACGGATTAAAATAAATCCTGGCCCCTGCAGGAGTGATCAAAGCTACCCCATTCACAGAGGAATGTCCATTCCTCTAAGCTCAGGGAGGTTTCCTAACTAATGAACTAGAACATTGTCAGATGTCTGGTTGCCAAGTAATATATTAAAGTGCTTTTCTAATGAGATTTCTGCAAGGTAACCATAAAACCATAAAAAGCACACTCAACTTCAGTGAAGCAGAAACATTTAAAAAAAAAAAAAATAACCAAATGCCTCCAAGGAAAAGAACAGGTCAACACAGCAGCTAAAAAAAGCTAGAAAGAATTTGACAAGCAGAAAAATAAAGTCCAAATAATTTTCACATCTGGAAAAAAAAGGTGAACACAAGACAGAGTAACTTAGCAGGTAGGTCATAAAAGAGCCACCTGAATATCTCAATGTCCAACTTTAAATATCTCCTTTTCCACTCATCCTTGTCTGTTTGTAACATGGATCTGTTACATACATAGCTACAAATAGGCCCTCCCATGAAAAGAAGGAACAGCCCTCATTGTTAGAACCTCTGACAATTTAGGAATATTATATAGAAATCTTGAATATCAAGGATCTTGTCTTAATCGGCCTGGACTGCAGTAACAAATACCACGGACTGGGTGGTTTAACCAACTGAACTTTGTTTCTCGCAGTCCTGGAGGACGGGAAGTCCAAGTTCAGGGTGCAAGCGTGGCCGGGTTCTGGCGAGGGCCCACTTCTTGGCTGGTAGACAGCTGCCTTCTTGCTGTGTCCTCCCTGGTTGGAGAGAGACATCCTCCCTCTTTTTCTTATAAGGGCACTAATCCCATTCACGAGGGCCCCACCCTCATGACCTAATCACCCCCAAGGGCTCCACTTCCTAATATTATCACACAGGGAATTAATGCTTCCATGCAGAAATTTTGGGGGGACACATTCAGTTCATAGCAGATGTCTTTTTTTTTTGAAACAAGAGTCTCACTCTGTTGCCCGGGCTAGAGTGCCGTGGCATCAGCCTAGCTCACAGCAACCTCCAACTCCTGGGCTCAAGGGATCCTCCTGCCTCAGCCTCCCGAGTAGCTGGGACTACAGGCATGCGTCACCATGCCCGGCTCATTTTTTTTCCTATATATTTTTAGTTGGCCAATTAATTTCTTTCTATTTTTAGCAGAGACGGGGTCTCACTCTTGCTCAGGCTGGTTTCGAACTCCTGACCTTGAACGATCCACCCGCCTTGGCCTCCCAGAGTGCTAGGATTACAGGCGTGAGCCACTGCATCTGGGCCATAGCAGATGTCTTTATTAGAACCAACACACTGAGGCATTGTCACTTGAAATACAAACAATAGCGAAGTCATGAAGTCTCTACCATGGACTACTCTCGAACAGTTTCTGGAAGTTCTTCCCTTGGCTCCCATCTGTCACTCTACCTTCATAAATATGTAACCATGGAGCTTCCCTGGCATCAGTGAGGCTAAGAACTGACACACTAAAGGATGTTGTGGATCTGAAAATCATCACAGAAGGCCATGTGGGTGTTGAGTTCAAGGAAGACAAGCCCGGGGTGGGGAAACACCTGTTAAATAGTTTCTCCATCTGAAGAACGGATATGTCAGGGAATGCAAGGTCTTGATTTTAGCTACTCCAGAGGGATGCCCTAAGTTCAAAGGATCATTACATATTTAAGGTCAAGGTAACAAAATGTTTGGCAGCAGTTAAAAATGTCCAACAATAGGGGGAGGGGGGAAATGGGCATTTATTGAAACCTTAAAATCTGTGCCCCCATAATATGCCGAAATAAAAAAAAAACATAATAAAAAAAATGCAAAAAAAAAAATGTCCAACAATAAACAGACTTCCATAAAATGCAGTCGTGTGCACCTGAGCAACAGCCAAGACTTGTCATTTTACTCACAATTCATTTCACTCACAATTTCAATCAAATCCAATCAAATGGATTGATTCCAAAGGGAATATTTTTTATGACTTAGCCCTTTGCACTCAGATGTCAAGTGTGACTCGACACGGTTAGTGAAAATTATAGAGATCAAAATGACTCTTTGAATGTGTCAATAATTTGAAATATAAAAAAAAATCCAAATACATAAATTTGTAATGAAAAGAAACTCCAGTTTTTTATTCTACCGCTGTGCTTTGTAAAATCTAGAGTATTTAAAAAATTAAATACTGAGTAGAATAAAGGAACTGAGAAAAAAAGCAAGCGAGTGCAAAATATTATCATTTCTTTTAAACCGCTAGCCTCACTAGTATTGAAAACTGGTTTATTCAAGATCAGTAGGATTAAATTATTGTTCAAAATACGGTGCTCTGGATTTATATGAAGAAACGAAGCAGCATAAGGCATGTATAGTGTATGTTTGCTGCTATGAGATTGCAGAACACATTAAAACAGTCCTCCCTTTGCAGTGGTTCTTCAAAATAAGCACATTTAAGAAAGACAAATAATTGACGGAACAATTGCTCACACACCAAATCCCATGCAAATGCTGGGAGGCAGCCTCAGCTGAATTCTGTACCAAGCTTCAGTCTTGAGGAATGTATTTCAAAATGAAATGCAAAGGGAAAGGAACGGCCATGTGGACATCACCTCTGGCTTCAGAGAGATCTGGGTTCAAATCTAGGAGACCTTGGGTAAGTTACTTAACATTTTGAGCCTCAGCCTTCTCCTCTACAAAATGGGGTAATAGTAATACTTGGGCCTCCTGGGCTTGTTGTAATGCACACACAAGGCTTCCTTTGCTATCTAACACATGTCTACTGCTTAATAAATGACCACTGTCATTTATGATTTCAAAGATTTGTTTTCCAGCTGGGCACAGTGGCTTACACCTGTAATCCTAGCACTCTGGGAGGCCGAAGAGGGAGGATTGCTCAAGGCCAGGAGTTTGAGACCAGCCTGAGCAAGAGCGAGACCCCGTCTCTACTATAAATAGAAAGAAATTAATTGGCCAACTGATATATATAGAAAAAATTAGCCGGGCATGGAGGCGCATGCCTGTAGTCCCAGCTACTTGGGAGGCTGAGGCAGGAGGATTGCTTGAGCCCAGGAGGTTGAGGTTGCTGTGAGCGAGGCTGACGCCATGGCACTCACTCTAGCCTGGCCAACACAGTGAGACTCTGTCTCAAAAAAAAAAAAAAGATTTTTCCTCCTAGTTAAGGAGGAGGCTGGATTAGATGACTATAATGGTTCCCTTCTATCGCCATATTCTATTATCCTGTTCCATGTTACTTTTCCCTCCTTAACTCACTCCTGTATCACCCCCTCCCCCGCCACCCTCCTACACCCCCAACCCCGTGGCCACTGTAACAAAGACCACAGCAAAACCTGTTCACTGACTGCTGACTATGGGCATTCACATGTGTAATTCATTTAACCCTCTGGACAACCCCATGAAGTTGGTACTGTCTCCCATTTTGCAGAGGGGAAAACTGAGGCACAGGAAAGTTGAGCAACTTGCCCAGAGTCACGAGGCTTGTAAATAGAGCTGGGACTAAAAACTAGGCAGTATGATCCTGGAACCCAGGCTCCTAACCACTATCCTGTATCAATTTATAGGCAACCTAAAGTTCTGCCTCAACAAACCACTCTGCAAGTAAACTACTCGGTGTAGCCGGTGGGAAAGTGGTAAAAGATCCAGTGTTTGCCTTCCATCTCCTCTTCTCGGTCTTCTACGCAGTTCCTATAGCTCTAAATTCTAAGAGCTTCATGCCTGATTACAGAATTCTCTTCCTCCTTTCCACAAACCACCTTACTCTTGATGGGCCAGTAATATAAATATGCATTGCCTATTCACTTGTGTGTTTAGGGTTTTTCTTTTCTTTTTTTTCTTTTTTTTATGAAAATTGGCTCTACCATGTTCCTTTGATCTTTGTGTTTAATGCAGAGTCCTTGCAGGGCTGGCTAATCCAGAGTCCGGAGCACACCCAGGCATTTCAGAAATGCACTTGGACGGTAACTGGGAGATTTCTCTAACAATGGAAAGTTCCCAGCAAAGCTGGCAGGGCTGAAGGGGACCCACTCCTGGCTCCTGCCAATCTGGGAGCTGCCACCTGTGTGGAGCTGGCTCCTGTCCACAGGGTCCCCAATGCTCCTGGCTCAACGCATTGCCTCCTGCTGCGGTTGCTTGTTTCTTCTTGTCCCGACTGTCGTTGTTCAGCACCGAGATAATGAACACCTTCCATTTAGGGTGAGAAGAACGACTTTGCTGTCTACGCAAGTAGCGACCATCCATCCCATCTCCAAAAGCAGCACCCATCTATTTGGCTCAACTCAGAGAAGTTTCTCTTTGCTGTCTTCTTGCTAAATACCATCATCTCTTCAAGCAAAATTTGCACTGTCTCATGATTTCCATGTTTGCTTTTTTAAAAAAAAAGAAAACAAATTGCAGGCGATTGCTTGCATTTTGTGCTGCTAAAATTCACATCCCACTGTACCGTGCTTCATTAGTAAAACCCCTTTATTGCTCACCTCTCAGTACTTCTGGATGAGATGCAAATAAAACCGTTTCAGTTTTCCAGTTGAACAGCCATGGGGGAAAAAAAAAAAAAAGAACAGCGCTTTGCTTATCTTCATGTGACATATTAACATGGTCCTCCTGGCCAAGGTTCTTGAAGGGAGGCACATTTTGAAAACTTAAATAACTGGTAGTATCATTGCCCTGGCACTCCAGGGCCAATGCAAATGCCCAGCTGTAGCCTACAGTTGAATTCTGTACAGAAGCTTCACTCTTGAGGAATGGAACAGCAAATGCAATGCAAAGGGAAAAGAATTTCCCACCTTCTCCAGTAAGATGTAATGCAAAAAAATAAAATAAAATAAAATAAATAATAATAGAGCTCAAGGCAAAGAAAAAGCTAGAAAGTCAAGGTCTATATGAAACCTTCGCAGGTAAATTCTGTCCAGCAATCTCCCCTCCTCTGCTAACATCTGTGTTTTTCCCACCGTCGTTCTCAGGCTATTTGTCTCACTGATAATAATAAATAATAAAGTGATAATAAAAATGACCATTACCCTCACCACCGCCACTAATACTGCCTCTGCCACCATTGACTGAGCTCACTATGCGCCTGGCACAGCGCAGACTCTTTTGCATGTAATCTCAGGTAATCCTGGGATCCAGCGGGGTGGCTATGCTCATCAGCCCATTGTACAGATGAGGAGTCGAGGCTTTGAGAAGTTAGGTTAACAGTGATGGCGCTCAGCTGGGCAGGGTACGGTTGCAGGGTGGGTTTGACTCTAGAACTTGACCTCAATCTTGATTCCTGGAGTTCTGAGTCCTGCCCCCCCACCCCCCCAGGCCCTTTCCACCCCTACAGGCCCGGCCATGCTGCACGGTGGGCATCTGAACGGACGACCACAAGAATAAATGAATCAACAAACAAGGGAATGTACTTTCTCAAGACTCGGTCTTCAAAATAATGTACTTTGGCCAGGCGTGGTGGCTCATGCCTGTAATCCTTGCACTCTGGGAGGCTGAGGAGGGAGGATCACTTGAAGTCTGGAGTTTGAGACCAGCTTGAGCAAGAGTGAGACCCTGTCTCTACTAAAAATAGAAAGAAATTAATTGGCCAACTAAAAAAAATTAAAAAAAATTATATATATATATATATATGTAGGAAAAATGAAATGAGCTGGACATGGTGGCGCATGCCTGTAGTCCCAGCCACTCGGGAGGCTGAGGCAGGAGGATCGCTTGAGCCCAGGAGATTGAGGTTGCTGTGAGCTAGGCTGATGCCACAGCACTCTAGCCTGGGCAACAGAGTGAGATTCTGTCTCAAAAATAATAATAATAATAATAATAATAATAATAATGTACTTTGATCTCAGAAAAGCAAGAAACATCTAAAACTGAGTATGGGAACACTTATGATTTCAAAATGGGATCGTTTCTCCACCTGCCCAAGGTTCAAAGGTGGGGGGCTGACTGTCCTGCTTGTACCCATTTGGTCCTGAGTGCCCCGGGCTGAGGGGTAAGGGCCGAGCCACCTGGGAGCGTTGGTCGTGGAGACACCAAGGGTTTTACTGAAGTTGGTACCAGAACCTTCTCTTCCAATACCGAACCCTCCTCTTCTCATTTACAGGGAGCTTTTGGAGTGACATTTACTTTTCTTCCTTTTTATTTAGAATGGACCAGAGAGAATGTCATCTTACCCACACCCCCCTCCTGCCCCCAGGACGTGTCAGCAGACAAACCCGACAGCCAATGGGGGGGAAGGTGCCCTGCACCACCAAGGAACTCTGGGTCACAAAAACTCTGTTGGTCTAAAGGTCCAAGGAACCTTGACCCTACAAAGGGACGTCTGTCTACCCCTGCCTCGCTCTTCACCCCCTTCCTCCCTGTCCCAGGCCGGTGTTCCCGGAACCCCGGGGGGTGCTGAGCACGTGGAGAGATGCCATCTGGTCCATGTCACCTTTCCTCTCCCGGAAGTCAACACCCACTTCCCCCACCAAGCTTCCCCCTTTTGTCAGCGCAGGAAGTGAGGATCCCAGCCTGGGTACTGAAAGTGGGTGTCTTGAGGGGATACCATCTGGAACATTCCTGGCCTCAGGGTGGGGCCCAGGGAAACCGCCCCCAAGGGCCCAATGTTAATTTAAACCTTGCTGGGTAATCGCTCTGGAATTGCCCAGTTTGTCACAAAGCCTCTTCTTTGGCCCATACCCAGCTATGGGTCCTAAGTAGGAAAGCCTGTTGAGGGCATTAAAAATGACGGTGCTAAAATGCTTAAGAATTAGGACAGGAGGAAGCTGATGTTTAGATTGACCCCCCTCCCACCCCTCCCACTCACACCATAGACCACATATTTTACCCTTGGAAAGGAAAACATTCCTGACCCCTGTTTAAGTGTTTATCAGAAGTTGTCTGGGCTCGCAGAACCTCTGAAGTCACATTCTTTATTAGTCACATCCTTCTTGGTGTGTGGGGTGACCCTCCTGTGAGGCCGGGAGGAATGCTTGGACCTTGTGCAGAAAGCATTTGGTGCTAGAAGCATGAGCCACCACTCGGGGATTTTCACTGAGCCCAAACACGAGCAGAAGCTGAGCAAAGAACCTGAGCTTCCTGATGGTGGCAGGGCTTGAGTTTTGAATATGTCTGAAAAAAGAAAAGTCCTCTTAGTTCTCATCCTGGGGGGGGGGGGCTTGATTTTTTAAAACAAAGCCCCCAGCATGGAGCCTAGATCCAGAAAGGGGAAAGTTCTAGATTCTCAGCACAAAATAAGGGACTCTTAAGAGTTTAATCTTGGCTGTGAAATTGGTCCTGCTTTGGCACCGTAAGCAAATCATTTTGCCTTCCTGGTCCTTGGACATTGATAAATTAGCTCATGCTGGGGATTTTATGGAAGTAGTCTGCATCCAACAGACCTTGCGTCAGCGGGTGAAAGGCACTGTGTGTAGAACCAGCTAGGTAGAGCAACACAAAGTACACCGACTGGCAGGTAGGGTAAAGTGGGTTTTGATACCAGTTCTCAGGACATTTGACTCGGTCCTCAGTTTGTTCATCTCTAAAATGGGAAGGTTGAAAAGTACTGATGGAGGAGGTACTTTTGGGGTCAAGAATCCTTTCTTTCTTTTTTTTTTTTTTTTGGAGACAGAGTCTCACTTTGTTGCCCAGGCTAGAGTGAGTGCCGTGGCATCAGCCTAGCTCACAGCAACCTCAGACTCCTGGGCTCAAGCGATCCTCCTGCCTCAGCCTCCCGAGTAGCTGGGACTACAGGCATGTGCCACCATGCCAGGCTAATTTTATATATATATATATAGTTGTCCAGCTTATGTATAGTAGAGACGGGGGTCTCGCTCTTGCTCAGGCTGGTTTTGAACTCCTGACCTTGAGCGATCCTCCCACCTCGGCCTCCCAGAGTGCTAGGATTACAGGCGTGAGCCACCACGCACGGCCAAGAATCCTTTGTGATTTTTTTGTCTCTCTATTTTAAGTGGAGAAAATAGGTGTAAGCTTCGGCTCAAGGGATATCAGTTACAAAAAGGCTTTCTGGAGACAGAGTCTGAGTTTGCAAAAGATGCTCTGGAATTTTCCTCTCCTGACCTGTATGAGTCCCGAGCTGTGGTCTGAGAGAGCCCTCTTGGTACCCATGTCTTGGAGCTGTCATGTTTGAAGTCTCTTAGACTGGGACGATATAGGGCAGGGGAAGGTAAATGGTGAACTAAAATATCACTCCAGAATCATTCTAGACCTATGAGTCTATACTTTGAATTTTAATTACATTTTTGGTTATTACAAAAAGGGACAGATAATACCTTCACATTTTTACATTGCTAGCAGATCTGGTTACGTTGCATGAGGAATACCAATGATGTAATGGTACAATATTCTTTTAAAATCTTCTGTTGGCATTTAAAAAAATACAAAAGTACATGCTCATTGTAACAATTTAAATAATATGCAAGTATATAAAAAGGCAGTACTGTTGTCTGCTTTAACCCTACGATAATGCTAACCCTCAATAATCTATATTATCTGTTTGTACACATAGTTTTCCATTTTCTTTTTTTTTTTTTTTTTCTATCCCAGTAGGATGAAATCCATTTTCTTTTTTTAATGAAAAATTTCATACCTCCCACCTCTGCCTCCTGAGTAGCTGAGACTACTGGCATGCACCACCACACCTGGCTTAAACTGCCTTTTTTCAAAAATTAACCAATATATCATATATTGCTATTCTTACATCAATACCTGGTGATCAAACTTATTCTTTTCAAGACCTGCAAAATGTTCCCTAACATGGGTGTAACTCTTTAAGAACATTCAGGATGTTTCAATTTTTTTTCTCTATATAAACTATGATACAATAAATATGCTTATACATGTGTCCTTACATGTTTGTACTTTTGTTCCTGTAGGACAGATTCCCAGAAATGGGAATTGCTGGGTCAAGGGGTATGAGAATGTTTAATTTTAGCAGATACTCCTAGATTACTTTCAAAAAGCTTGTTAGGAATTCTTGGTCTTGGCAACAATGCATGAAGCTGCTCATTTCCTCACGAATTTCCCAGCAGTGGAAGTCAGGGATTTTCAAAACTTAGGCCAAGCTCAAGGGGAAAACACTATAAATTACTGTTGTTCTAATTGCATTTTTGCGACTATTTGTGAGGTAGAGTGACCCTTCACGTTTACTGGCCATTTGTAGTTGCTCTTCTTCTAATTCACTATTTATAACTCTTTTTAAAAAATTAAATACAACATCTTTATTTGGCATTGGGTATCCTGACGTTTGTTCATTACAGCTCCTTAGAAAACAAACC